TTCCTCCTCCCTAAGTCTTTCCTTTGTTTCACTGTCCCCAGAAGCAATAACTGCCTATCTCTCCATGTACAAGGAAAAAAACAGTACTTTTAAAACGGAAGCAGCCCTGGCTGCTGTGTCTCAGTCGTTGAGCGCTAGCCTGCAAATCAAAGGGTCACCAGCTCAATTCCCAGTCTAGGGCGAATGCCTGGGTTGGGGGCCAGGTCCCCAGTAGTGGGGCACATTGTTTCCCTCCCTCTTTCTCCTTCCCTTCCCTTCTCTAAAAAATAAATAAATAAAATCTTAAAAAAGAAAGCTGAAGGCTGCTGAAGACTGATATCTCCTCCCCCTCTTCTCCAGCTTCATTGCAGTTGTCAAGGTAACGAGATGATAAAACAGCTCACTTTTGAGCACTGCGTGTATCTGCCAATGGGGCAAAGAACTGCTTCTGAAAGGTATCATAAATTGATTAACCTCAAGAATGATAATTAATTACTTTTGGTTATCACTAAAAATTGAGAATTCTAATCAAGTTGGCAGAAAAAATGGTTTTGGGAATCAAAAATAAATGATAAGACTGAAACTGGGTTAGTGATTTCTAGACAAGTTAAAAGGGACTAGGAAAGTTGCAGAAGGATTGCGTGCATTGAAGAGGGTCTGTGCAAGTTGAAAAACGATCGTGCAGAGGGAAGAAGCAAAAGAGAAGGAACTGAGAAGGTGAGAAAGGGTGGAGGAAGGGACACACAGAAAGAAAGGACATTGGAGTAGGAAACTCAAGGAGGGAAATGGAAACGAGGAAAACTAGGAATAACTAAGAAAAGGAAAGGCACATAGATAAATGGCAAAGATAATTTTAATGACAAATGAAAAACCCAAGAGCTCCCTTTGACTCTCCAAAGCCAATTGTTATTACCCATCAGAAACCCCAGGTACGATTAGATAATGGAAAACAAATTAATTGATTCAAATGTCATTAGAGAAAACAAAATCCTTCATTAATTGTAATCACTGGTTTATGACCTAACTTGGAATGATGTACAAATAGTTCTCTTCCACAGCTAAACAGTAAGTAAAAAGCAACATACAACAGGAGCTGCTAGGGTTTACACTGATGGGCTAGTCATGTTCAGCGTCTCATATGTCAACCAGGGAGTCTAGCAGTCAGTCAGAGCCAATATGTAAACCCCTACCACCGACATAAGGCAGGAGCACAAGCAGAGGGCATGGAAGTTTCCTTTGAAATCTGCCCCAGGGAAAGAGTAAGGCACAGGAGAAGGAATTTCCCATTGAGAATGAGAGGGAGGCCTGTGGGGGGTGCCTCAGAAACGAGGCTTCTCCAGACTGAAATGTTTGGGTTACACAGTCAAGTTAACTATTCTGAAAACCCCCAGCCAGCCAGGGTGGGGTTACACAGTCAGGCTAACCATTCTGGAAACCCGGTGTCTGAGAGGGGACGCCATTACCATCTCACAAAACTGTTCCCCTCTGGGGGCCATCAGCACACTTTTCCAAGATCAGCCGATTAGTAAGCTCCTTCTCTTTGGTCGAAGGACGACAGGGACAAACCCTCTCATCCCCTGGAAGGATCTGTCTTAACGGAGATGTCTGTTCTGGACACCCAGGGCCTTGAGCCCTCAGGTTCGGACCCCAGGACACTGGGCTCTCTAACCTTCTTTCCTTCTTCCAGATGGGGACTGGATTCCTTGTCTCTTCATCTCTCCATAATCAGAATAGCTTAGTGGTCATAAACTGGCTCTACAACTAACAAACTAAACCTTAAACACAGCCATGTGGAGACCATTCTAATCTCTGGGCCCCTCTCCTGATGGAATAGCTCAACAGCCTCCATGCTTCTGACACTCCAGAGCTCTCTCCAGCAGTCCTGGTTTCAGTGAGAGCTGTTAACACTCTCCACTGCTCAGTAAAGAACATGAGGCCTGATTTCAACAAGGCAAATTCAACCATCATTCAGTGGGAATCTTTCAAGTGTCAGGCACTGTACCATAGCCTGGAAACAGAAAGAGAAATACAACCTAGAGAGTCACTCAAAAAGAAGCTTCTTTTAACTTTTCCAAACTCCCTACCTGCCCACATTTAAAATGGATTCTGAATCCTTCAGACTATAATTGCCTACATTCAAAATACAGACAGAGGCTAGAATGCTCCGTTTGTAGGGCTTTGACTATTTAACGAGGCTTCCATACAAATCTGTCTGCCAACAATTTGCCTTTACCTGAACGTTGTTTCCGAGCACTAAAACATGGTCATCTTTTTTTAACCTGTGCTTTTGACCTCACATAGTTTGTCTTTGCTTAGGTTTCTTTTTTCAGCAACTCCCTTTCTGGTTCCCAAGAACATCAGATTCCTAGCCAGCACAGCAAAGGCATCTCACATAGCTGTGTCATTCTCAGGAGTCAGGGACACTCAGTCTCAGCAGCTGCTCCTTGACCATCTCACACCCTGGGAAGCCTCCCACTCAGCCCCTTGGCTGGGCTCTCCAGGGGTTGACTGGATGACTGCACACTCGCCAGAGCAGGGCTCCAGAAAATATAATTGTGGCTACATTCAGTTATTGCTCTGAGTAGAAATGAAATCAGAAAAGTCAGGCATTCGTGCTGCCTGTCACTATCAGAACCAGTAAGTAGAGACAAGGATAGAAGACAAGTGAACCTTTATGGGCACTTTATTCAGATGCCAGCCATCTGAGAGGACAGCAGATAATGTACCCTCAAAAAACCGTTTTAGCATCTCATCTCAATCTAGAAGAAAAGGGCAGGTAAGGGGTTTGGGAAAAAGGTTAATCGAATAAGAGCTGCAGTGATTATTTTCTTCATATTGCTTTATCTGATGATCAACTATTCTTTATCCGCGTCAAGGGCATTCCATTCCTGGTACACAATGGCTCAGATACCATCCCTGTCAGATCACTTGATGACCCCCTGGGACACAAAAGTTGGGTTGCTCGTTAGCCTCCTGCAGTCACTAGGTGATGTATTTCAGTTCTTGGAACACCAGCTGTCTGCAGGCATTAATCACATAAGCCTATCAACTGTAACTACTGCTAAAACCTTGAACTCTTCAGTTCCCCTATCAAAATTCTAGGGCAATGACCAAGAAGAGAAAGTCTGGTCCCGCCCAATTATTAATGCGTGCATTGCAAAAACCAAAACTTCTCTAGGCCTTTCCACCAGGTAACTAGACACTATTTTTTTCTAGTTATCATCAGCATGTTAGGAAGGTATTTTAACCTTCCTAACAGTACTTCAAACAGCACTTGACAAATTTTCAGAGTTCTCATGCATACATTTCCTTAGTTGATTTTCACAATCCTATGAGATAGGGCTGAGAGAGGAGGTGAAATGTCACTATTAAAGATGTTTTGGACCCCAGCTCTATCACCATAGAAAATATATAATCTCAGTAAGTTCTCCAACCTCTTTGCATCCTGAGTTTCTCACCTGGAACACGGATAATAATAGTACCCATGACTTGGGGACTTATTCACAATAGAATTGTGCAGAATAACAGACATTGTGCCTGTGAAGTCCTTGCACGATACCTGGCCCTTGGTCAGCGCTTCAAGCCTGTCAGTTACAATTAATAGGCGCCATCATTCCCATCTCACGGATGATGCTCCTGCGGTGGCTCTGCTTTGTGAAGTCACAGAACTGACTGGCAGACGTGGGCCTGGAAGCCAAGTTTTCATTCTTTCTGCCTCTGGGTTCCCACTGATCATTTTAAAGCCCAGCTGAGAGCTGTGGTGCCCCGTTCTTCCCCACAAATATCCTGAGGTCAGGATGAGTGGAATCAAGGACAGTCAGTCAGCCCTGGACAGGCAAGACGATCCCCAGGCAATCAGACTCTCTCGGAGCGGCAAACAAAGAGCCACGCAGGGAATCAATTAGAGCCTGAGGGAAAAGTCCTAAACTCTCAGCAGGGCTGGAGTCTCTATGACAGTCATGCTGTAACAGAATAAACAAATCTGGGAGGACTCTGGATGCTCATGCTTATAATTCCCTAGTTCCCTAATAAGAGATAGTTATTCTGAATAACAAGATGCTTGCTAAGACTTGTAATATAACTTGTAAGCCTATATTAATACAAGCCATTTTGTCCAACATCAAGAATTTTTAAATGAGAATTTCAGGAATAAAAGAAGTCTTTCCAGCCAAAGTATATAAAAATAGAAAGAATACGCACACATACAGTATGTTATGGCTTATACAAAGCATTCTGCTCATATAAACCAGGCCAGAACAGAGTCTTCTTAAAGCCTCTATTATACCAGAAGATGTTGAAAGCAAGGAGATTTACATAAAGTAAGCGAGACATGCCAGACTTCCTTTCCTTAGAGCAAAACAAATACAAGAAGAAACAAATTTGCTTGGATGACTGAAAAGCAGAGAAAGGCACTGGCAATGGATCTCCTCTTCAAAAAGGATATTTGTTTAATCTGCTCATCTCAAATCAAACATAATCATTCTAATCATTTTGAAATGTCCTGAAGAATTCTCTGATATTAGGACATTCAAAGGTATCTTTGCATATTTGCAAACAAAGTTCCACAACTTCAGACTAGAATCAAACACCTGCCCTTACGAGAGTCAGGTTTCTCTGTTTCCCCCACTAGAATATGTATGGCTCTGCTCTGGGATGGGAAATTTCTTCTCTGATGAGACCAAAGTAGTTTGACACCTCAAACTTAGAGCTGATACTAGGTCTGGAATCTGTTTCTCTTTTCCAGGATGACTTTGAGAACCTTCGTTTTCAGGTACCTGATTTCCCACAAAGTATTGTAACAATCAGCTAAAGGGTTCAGAAGAAAATTGCTGAGGAAAAAACAAAATTTTTAAAATTTCTAACTTGGTCTTCCATTTTAGACATTAAACATTCCACCATGGATGTATGTCAGGGTCATGTACAAAGGAACCTACTTCTTTTTCTGTAATGACAGAAAACTGGACCACCCAGGTAATGAACTACATTCACTCTAAGAGCTTCATCTAGTGCAATGGTCTTACTTGGCACTTTCTTCACTGCAGTTTGAGTTGCTAGCATCCACTGTTGCCTTCTGGCTGAAAGCTTCCTCTGTAACATCCAGCCAGGTCTGGTTCTTAAACTTAATCGTTATTCTTTTGGCCCAAAAGAGAATGCAGGGAATTTCATCCTTGGAGACATTAACTGGACAATCATGGCCGAATGCATTCCAAGGTTCTTTTTCTAAATGCGCTTGTCTGCTCAGATTGTAGTTCAGGGCCTAATTGAGAGAGAGAGAGAGAAAGAGCAATTTGTTTCCATGGTACAACAGGCATTTTGGAAGTCAAACAGCTAATTTGCAGCCTGTTGAAACCCTAACCTCCCTAGCTCTGAAGTTCGCACTATCGTGGGGCAAGGAGAGGAGTGGACCAGGCCACAACAAGGTAGTAGCTATACCGGAAAGGTGCATAAGCCCAGGTCCACAAATCACCAAAAATGGAAAAGATCAAATTTAAAAAATAAAAACTTCGCAAATAACATTATCAATATAGACTTTAGAAAGTCACTGTGAGCGGGGAGAACGCGGGGATGACTAGGTGGAGCACAGCCAGGTTTTCGGGCCGTGTGACTGCTATTCTGTATGGTACGGCGATGGCGGACGGGTGGCATTATGCACTTGGTAAAGCCATAGGTCATACAACACAGAGAGCGAATCCTAATGTAAACTGTGGACTTTAATAATAATTTATCAATATTGGCTTATCAGTTTTAGCAAAAGTACCACACTAATGAAAACTGTTAAATATCGGAGAAATTGGAGAGGAGAGGGACTGAGGAAGATGGGAACCTTCTGTACTTTTTGTCAATTTTCTGTAAACCTAAAACTTAAAAAAATTCACCATGCCATATGATACCAATGGCAGTATTCTCATCAGAAAATGACATCATAAGAACCCAGATAATGCAGGACTTCAAATAAAGAAGCTAATATGTTAAAGAAAACAAGAGGCTTTTGGAAATCAAGCGCAGTTCTCCAGACCATTACGTCCGGCAGAACAACTTGCAATATTGCACATGTTCTGTGTCTGCACTGCCCAGCGGCTGCTGTGGCCGTGACTCGCTGGAGATGGCCAGTGCCACTAAGGAGCTTAATTGTTCTATTTTACTTAGCATCATTTCCTTCTAATTTAAGTTTAAATGCCACGTGTGGCTAGTGGCTACTGTCATGGACAGTGCCGGCTCTAGGTCATTTAATGCACGTAAACTGCAAACTAGTTTCTCATACCGTTCTACTTCTTATGAAACCTTTGCTGATTTCTAAGAAGCCTAAGATTATGCACTTTAGTGCCTGACTCTGGAGGTCACAAGGGCAGAGCTATATGTTAAAGAAGATCCATTCATCGAGGTCAACCCTTCCATACCAACTACTCCAGGGTAAGTACAACTGAAAGAGGACTGACAGGCAGCAGCGACCCAAGCTTGCCTGTAACCAAAGATAGAACGGTGCTATAGCGAGCCTGTCTGGAAAGCAGCGGAAGTCCCACTAAATATTGCAATGAAAATATACAAGAAAAGAGAAACTTAACTATTATATTACTATAATACATTTTTCCAACATTCAAACAAGAATTTTATTTATTAATAGAATTACTTATATTTTCAAAGTGGCTCTGACTTGATTAAAATGTGTTTAACATTTATAAGATATAATCTAGTTTCCTAACACAGCCATACCTGTGTGATCGGTATTGTGAAATTCTGGATTGGTTTCATATTTCCAGGACTCGGTTGATCTGTCAAATAAATGGGTACAGATAGGGATTTATTCATGTAATTCAGTGACAATAATACGCTAAGCACTGCGAAACATACCAGGCATGAGCCTCCCTTGCTCACCATTTACAATACACTAGTTTAAAAGAGTTTCACACGAGATACCCCCAGTGCCAGCAGCGATGTGCAGGGAAGGCCGTCACAGACAAGACCCTTCCTGACACCCCAAGGCATCAATCACAAAGCAGTCATAGGTCTTACCACTCTGTATAACCACTTCCTTGTTTGAGGATGTTTGAGAGCTGAAACAAGAAACAATTGAAATTAAAAGATGCTGAGCAAATTTCAGATTTTAGAGGAAGTTTTAAGAACATTTCAGAGTTAGAAGAGCAGGCAGAACCTTAGCCTGTCAAAACCGCCTGCACTTTGTATGTTCTTCAAAGAAATAAAGCATAATAAAATCTTATACGGTGAAATTTTACACTACATTGTACTGTTAACATAGTAAAGGGAAAATATTCAACCCTTTTTATTAACAAGACTCAATTGCATAAACAAGGTATCTTTGAATATTACAAAGAGGTAAATTATAATATATATCCTTCTTGATTTCACTCTAAACATGCACCACATATGATTTCCTTTTTATAAAATTTAAAAACAGATTGTTACATTCTTTTTTGAAAAATGCAATTTTATAAATTTTATAAATATTTACATTCTTATATATAAACAATCACAAATATTTTCCATGTTATTACATATTTTCTCACATAATATTGAATTCTATATGGTATTATATCACACAAATGCATCAATTTATTTTACCAAATTCCTATTAAATATTTAAGATGTTTACAGTTAATAAACAATACTACATTGAACGTTATGGTGGATTGTTTGTTCATACCCCTGAGAAGTTCCTGCAGGTACATTTCTAGAAGTACTGTTGCTAAGTTATAGATATGTACACCTCTTTATTATGAAATATTGCAAACATACACAAATTTAAACAGAAAAACATGGTATACACACCCAAGTACCTGTCCCCATTCTCCAGTGTCGGTAACTATCAAGTCATAACCAATCTTGTTTCACCTATAAGTTCACCCACTTCCCTCTTTGGTATTATTTTGAAGAAAATATCAGAAATCATTCCATTTAAGTATATATTTCTAAAATATAAGAACTTTCTATAATAGTAGCCCAATTGTATCTAGAAAGCATTAATAATTAACATTAAGTGTCATGTCAGTGTTTAAATCTCCAACTATCAAAAATGTCATAATTTTTAAATATTTTATTGTATATTTCAAACTTGTCATAAGTTGTAACTGCAGTGTATGAGAACACAGATCAAGCTACATACTTAGTGATGTCTGTCCAGCACCTACATGCATTGCCAGCATATAAACTCATAATATTGTTATAACTAGAAAAACGTGTACCACATCTCCTGAGCTGTATGGGAAACATAATTTTAGCCAAAGAGTTATTAAGTCTATATCACAGTAAAGTGCTTCAGAATTAATTATATGGAGCCAATTACAAATTAAATGCATCATTCACTTTGTAGCACAATCTTTATTATCTAATGAGAATTTCTGAAGATGACAAATTGGTTGGTAACTGTGATGTCTATTAGTTGCTGTTAATATATTCATGAATGCATAAAATTATGTTTTCACTTTACCAGCTTTATTGAGGTGCAGTTCAAGTACAATAAACCGGATCTATTCAATGCGTACAATTAGATGTACTTGGGCACCCACATAGACCCAGGACACCTGCCACAGTGAAGAGACATCCCACACGTTTCCCCACACACTTCAGCAGTGGAGAGACGTTCCCTCCACTCTCAGCCCAGGCAACTACAGAGTTGCTTTCTGATACTCAAGATTTAGTTTGCATTTTCTAATATTAGAAATAGAATCGTGTACATATTCTTTAGAGCTTGGCTTCTTTCGGTCTTAATGTAATGACTGAAACTCAATGTTGTTAAATGAATCAACATTTCATTCTTTTTTATTGCTAAGAAGTATTTCATTTTATGGATAGGCCACATTTTGTTTGTATGTGCACCCATTATGGACACTTAATTTATGATGTTTTTAGTTTGGAGCTATTACAAATGAAGATGTAAGAGCTGCCAGGTACAGGGGTTTATGTGGAATATGTTTTTTAACTCAAAAGTCGAGTGGCTGCCATGAAATAAATGTTTACCTTGAAAAAATAAAACCTCCCAATCAGCTTCAGTGCATGAGCTTTCGTGTGGCTCCACATCCTCGTAACATTTGGTAGTCGGTCTGTTTAATTTCAGCCATTTTATATTGTTCACTGATGAGCCAGTTACTATCTTGCAATTGCTGTACGAAGAAAAATTGTAGTATAGTAACTGGCTTGTCAGGGACCAGTGTATAGTCACACTGATGTGAGCAGAGATTTGACTAGAGTAGCAGCTACACTAGAGGGTGATGGGGATGAAGGAAAGAAAGGAGAGGGCAGTGTTGAAAACAGAAACTTTGTCCATAAACACAGGAAGTAGTTAGGTACCATCTAAAATGTATAAATTGAGAAATTGTCTGCACATATTTAAATCACTGCACATATTATTTAAATATTGTGGCAGTATGGGATGGTATGATTGTTCCCAATGCTCTGGAAACAATCGCAGAGACGTGTGTATCCCTGCCCGTGGGCAGATATCTTTCAGCCCCTCCCTGCAGGTGAAGAGCACTTCCTGCCCCAGCATCAGACTAGGCTACATGTCTTGGACGGGCCAATGGAATGTGAGTGGAAGCAAGAGTGTGCCAGTTCTGCGGAAACTTGAAGAGGAGTTGCCTATGTCTGCATGTGTCTGCCACCTCTTGCCCTTTTCCCTCTGCCATGATAATGGCAAACCCAAATAGGGGCAGCTCTTTCAGTTTGGGTCCTGGAGTGAGAAGACATGGAACACAGAACTGAAGCAGGGCCATGGCAGCCCACCTGTAGCTGTCAACACACAGCATGTGCGTGTGCAAGAAACAAATGTTTGAGTTTGTTGCTAGAGAAAAGTGACTAAACAGGGGACCATTTTTCTATAATTTATTATGTGTCTTGGTAGCATTTGAATTTTTAAAAACCATGTACACGAATCACTTTGATAAATATTTCTAATTTATTCTGTTTAAAAAGATGCCTTCTTATAAAATTTTATCAAATAGCATTCTAATTTATACAAAGTCTCTTGTGAGTAGGATTAGCATGAATCAGTCCTCTGAGCCCAGTTATTTCTAGAAATACTAAGCATGTTAATTTCCTGAGAAGCAAAAGTAAGGCTCTGATCAAAATAATTATGTAACTACAATAGAAATATACTTGAGCCAAAGATCTCTATCTACCTAAACTCCAAACTCTGTAGTGCAAGTTAAACATTAACTGAACCTTTGAAAGAAGCACTAATGCCTAGAAAAAACTTCGTAAGGAGCTTCAACTTTTCTAACATCACACTATACACAAATAAAATTTTTTAATTTCTTTAATTCAAAAATCATATTTCATGATTCATGGTTAAGTATTCATGTTTAAAACATCTTAATGAATAGCCCTGGCTGGTGTGGCTCAGTGGATTGATTGAGCATGGGTCTGCGAACCAAAAGGTCACTGGTTCAATACCCAGGCAGGGCAAAAGCCTGGGTTGTGGGCCAGGTCCCATTTGGGGTATGTGAGAGGCAAGGGCACATGGGTTTTTTCCTCTTTGTCCCTCCTTCCCTTCTCTTTAAAAAGAAATAAATAAAATATTTTAAATGTCTTAATGAGTAAAAAACAAAACTATGAGATAGATTTTACCTAAATAAGATAAAAATTTATCAAGTCATTTGGAATATCTATTTAGCAGAAGAGTTTAGTAAATGCTTATTGAGTAAAAGTATATGAATGAATGAATGAGCTACCATATCATTAACATACTTGACTTGAGACTTTACTCCACTAATTAAAATTTTTCATGCATTTACTAATGAAAAGCTGTTAGCAGATATTGTAGTTTTATTTTCATTTCAATAAATCTATGGTCACTAACACACAATAATGCTGCTATACTTCTTTTTTAAATAAACTATGATTTAGATAGTCCTTGCCCATACCAATAAGCCTGAATTAATGAGGTTTTATGGGAAGCCATTATCTCAATTGAAGATAATATATATACACATTTTTGTATCATTACATAAGCTCTAGACTAGAGTAGGAATTAAACAAATTATCTGTGGGAATAAACTGAGAAACACTGGCTTAAAAAGAATTAAACCTACATCTTTGGCAAAATATCCAGACCCCTTTTTAGTAAAAGGGATCTCTGTAAGATCTGAAAAGTAATCTAGGGCTCTAGGCTTGTCATGGCCGGTGCCATGTTTTTGATGTACCAGGTATCCCAGCATGCGTCTCTTGAGTACGCCCTGATGAAAGTGGAGGTGAGCAGCCCTTTCACAGTTCTGCTGAGGACGAAGACCACATTCCCACCAAGGCCTACAAGGCCCTGAAAGACCTCAGCCTCCTGGCTTGCTCAGCTCATTTCACCTCTTCTGCTCTGTGCTCCAGCTCCACTAGCATGCTTTAGTTCAGTTCCCTGAATGCTTCATTCTCCCTCTTTCCACATTAAAGCTTAGCACCTACAGTTCCCTCCACTGGAAATGTTCCCCATCCCCCTATTCCCCATATGCCCTAGTTATTTCCTTCGCATCCTCCAGATCACACATTAAATATCACCTTTCAATGCCCCTAACTACTCAGGCTACTTCAGATCCCCCTCTTACATGTTTTCATAGCCTCCCGCACTTTGCTTTCACAGCATGTTTTGCAGTTTATTTGTAATAATATCATTCATTAATGAGCACCTCCCCCACTAGATTAAAAGGCAGGGACTATATCTGTTTTGTTCCCCATTGTAGACCCAGGGCCTAGCAAAGTTCCCAGCGATTTAAAAACACCGAGTATTTAAAATACTTGGTTTCATCTATGAATTATCTAATAAATTAATGAACACACTCTGAAAGGGAAGTGGGCATGAGAGATCCCACAGGAGCCTGTGTGAGAGGGAAGGACTTCCTTTTTGTGCATAAACACAAACTGAGGGAGGAACATGTAAAGGACAGTGATGACCCTACTCTTCCTCAGCTTAGCAAACATGTAGTGCACTCGTATGTTGTATACAAAACGTAACACCCTTCCTAGAGACTTAAGAACCTTAAATGCCACGTAGAGTGGAAAAATATTTTTAATTTCAGATCCATACTTTAAAAGAATATTCACAAAACAGCAGCTGTTGCTTTCTTCATAATAAAATAATATGCCATGTCATTAGACTCAAATAATCATTGATTTATGTAATTTCTAGGGTTCTTTATGAAGCTTGGATTATTTAAAAACCCATTAACCTTGCTTCAAAAACAGAAATGGGGTTTTTACAGTTCTTGGTGTCCATTTACCAGTGTAACATTATACAAAGCAGTCATTTCTCTGTAAACCAGGTGAGGAAACCCTGCTAAGGAATATAGGTCACTTACCATTAGAAAGTGAACCTAAGGGAAGTATACTAACTGATTTGGAAACAAGGAGGGAAAACAAAATTTAAAATGGCTGTGCTTATACTTTTTATCAGCTGGTGACTTAAGAATTATTTAACACAAGTTTTGGCAGATCATCCTGCTTGCCTCTGTCCTTTATGCCAAATCCTTTGACGCATCGTTGAAATGGTATATAGTGAGTAACTAAGAGATATGATATGTTCATTGCTATTCAGGCTCTGAATATTACTCCTTATATAGAAAAATCTCTATATGCTCCCTTAAATAGTATGAAAAGAAGCCAAAAGGACAAAGAAAATAGAAATAGAAATTTTGCTTGTTAAGTTTAAATAGTATGTACTCTACACAATTACTGTCTCCTACCAGTTAAAATTATTTAACATCTTTTTTTTTGAAAAACAGGTTATACATTTCTAAGGCTTAAAATTTTTTCTTACTCTCTTCTCACATAATAATGGCAGGAGAAACTGTGAAACTAAAATTTACTCGTAAGTCTAAAAGAAACCTGAACACTGATTTGAGTCATTTTCTCATAGATATATACTTGGGTACATAACACAAATGTCTCTTGAGTATTCTGAAAAAATAACTCTTCCTTCTTATAATAAAGATTACATCTTTATCTCTTATTTATAAACTCTAGTTCAATGAGTTTAGGAGCTGCTGAATTATCTAATCTAATTCTATTTTGAATTTTAAACAAAATGTGGCCATGCAACAATATTTAAAAATACATAGGACCACCAATTTCACACTTGCACTTAAGTTCACAGATGCGTTACATTAAAAGACATGCAATTACTCACCTTACATTCCTCCTGGCAAATATTTGGTCCAAAGTTAGTGAAAATCCCATAGATAAAAAAATAAGTGAAACAGTAAACAAGATTTTTTTTCCCATTAAGAAATAAACCTGTTTCTTCAAACCGAGCACATCTGTTAATTCATAAATGCAAACAAAGCAGAGATAGTACTTTTCATGCCATGTGACTGACAACATACTCAACCAATGAAAGGCAGCTTTCCCAGGATGTATTATGTGTGGGGCAGGGTATTGGGAGGAGCCTGCTACTGCTTAATTTGGAGTACAGAGTGAAACCTATGGGTCTATTTAGGTTGTCTGATTACTCATCTCAATGAAAGATCATTAGGGAAAGATTTTTAGAGAAAAGCTTCAAAAACTCTTTTTGGAAATTGGCATTGTTTTGATACTCTAACTCAGTAAGAATTTCATACATTTTTGTAGGAAGCAATTAAATTCTCCTAAAAAAAATCCAAGAATGGTACATTATTATATGCATTTTTCAGGTGAATAAAAGAATAAAGATCCTGAAACTTACTTAATTTTACTTATGTGTCCTAGTTCACACTTCCCTCCTGATCTCATCCCTCTCCCTTCGCTGAGAAGCATGAAATGAAATAGTAAAGAACACTGACTGCCTTTGGAGTCAGACAGCACCTGAGGGCACTCCCAGCTCCAGCCCTGACCAGCTATCAGATATTAGGCAAGTTACATTTCTTCCTGAGTCTAGTTTCCCCTCCTGCAGAGAGGAGATAAAAGTACTTAACTGAAAGAATCATTGTGAAGAGTAAATGAGGTCCTAAATAGCCAAATCTATCTTGAGAAAGAAGAGCAGAGTTGAAGGCATCAACTTCCTAATTTCAAAACCCATTAAAAAGCTAGAGTAATTAGAACAGTACAGTACTGGCATAAAGACAGATATATAGATCAGTAGAACAGAATAGAGAGGCTAGAAATAGGATGCCAAGAACACACAACGAGAAAAGAACAATTTCTTCAACAACTGGTCCTGGAAAAACTGGATATTCACCTGCAAAAGAGTGATATTGAATCCTTATCTCATACCATACACAAAAATCAAATCAAAATGCTTTAAAGACTTAAAACCTAGAAGAAAGCATATGGGAAAACTTCATGACATTGGTCTTGACAATAATTTCATGGATATGACATGAAAGCACAGGCAATAAAAGCAAAAATAGGTAACTGAGACCGCATCAAACAAAATAGCATCTGCACAGCAAAGGAAACAATCTAAAGAGTGAAAGACAACCTATGGAATGAGGGGAAATATTTTCAAAAGGGTTACATCAGAAAATGTCTAGTAAAGGATTAACTTCCAAAATATTTAAGCAACAAATCAATGACACAAATAATCTAATAATAACAAAATAAATAAATAACCCAATATAAAAAGGGGCAAAAGATTTGAATAGACATTTCTCCCAAGAAGGCATACAAATGGTTAACATGTATATGAAAAAGTGGTCCAATGGGAGAATTGCAAATCAAAACCACAAAGGGATATCACCTCATCCCTGTCAGGATGCCTATTATTGAAAGAACAAAAGACAAGTGTTGCCAAGTACATGGAGAAATTGGAACACTTGGGCACTGTTGGGGGGAATACAAACTGATGATGTTCCTATGGAAAATATTATGGATATTCCTCAAAAAATGAAAAATAGAACTACTATGTGATCCAGTAATTACACTTGTAAGTAATTGTCCGAAATAATTGAAATCCAGATCTGGAAGCGATAAGAGCACTCCCATGTTCACTGCAGCACTGTTCACAACAGCCAAGATGTAGAAGCAACCGAAGAGTCTGTTGATGGCTGAATAGATAAAGAGTATCTGTCATATACATAAAACGGATATTATTCAGCCTTTTAAAGAGGGGGAAATTCTGTGACAACATAGATGAAACTTGAGGACACTATGCTAAGTGAAACAAGCCAGTCACAAATACTAGATGATTCCAATCATATGAGGTATCTTAAATTAGGCAAATGCGTAGAATCAAAGAGTGGGATGGTGGTTACAGGGGCTGGTGTTGGAGCTAATGGGGAGTTGTGAATCAACAGGCATAAAGTTTCAGGTGAGAAAGCTGAATAAATTCTCGAGGTCTGCTGTGCACAATTGTACCTGTAGTTAACAATATTGTACTGTACACTTGAAAATTTGTTAAGAGGATGGATCTCATGTTAGGTGTTCCTATGACAATCAAATAAAATTTTAATAAATAAAAAATTAAATAAATATCAGACATGTATGCCTTTTCTTATTTCAGTGCCTAGTTAGATAAAAAAATATAAAGTGTTGCCCTGACCAGTGTGGCTCAGCCGGTTGGGCATCATCCCGCAAAATCGGAGGTCACCAGTTTGATTCCCAGCCAGGGCACATGCCTGCGTCACAGATTTATTCCCCAGTCAGGGCACGTATGACCAATCAAAGTCTGTGAGAGTTTCTCTCTCACATCAATGTCCCTCTCCCTCTCTTCCTCAATCCCTTCCCCTATCTCTAAAAATAAATAAAACCTATTTTTAAAAGAAAATCTATTGTTATTCCTTCCTTGCCACCCTCCAGTCCCACCACCCCCACCTAAAAAGCATTTTAAAAATCCCTAAGAACTTGTACTAAAAAAAAAATACAATTAAAATGCCACCATAAAGAAAATCTTCCAAAATGAAAGTGTCAGCATTTTTTGCATGTAAGAACCTTGAAATGTTTAAAGACTAAGTACGGTAGCTGAAAGGTGCTATTTGTAAGTGACATCTCAGAGATGATGGATGGTAGGAAGGCTGGGAACTTGACCTGAGGAGACACTCCCTTCCTCACTGCCCACGTTACATACACATACACCTCTTCTAACATGGCTCTTGGGGTCCTAGAGAAAATGAGAAGAGGAGCTCCAAGGACAATAATGGGGGACCTGGAGGAGTGCAGAAATAAGGAAGCTACCAATAAAAATTATACAACAGAAAAGGTCGCTGCCATCAATGTGCCCTATCTTATTCCTACTTCCCATCTGACTTCCTTTTCTTCAGTTCTTTCATTTCACCCAACTTCTGCCCTTCACCTCTCCTTTGACCTTTCTGTCCTTTTCCTGATTTTGTGGAATTTCAAGTAGTGAGACAAGTATGAACTGCATGAATGTAGTGTTAAGAAGGGTTGCCAAATAAAATAGAGAACACCCACTTAAATTTGAATTTTAGATAAACAACAAATAGTTTTAATAGTAGGTATAGTTCATGCAATACTTGGAGTGTGCTATACTAAATAATTCTTTGTTATTTATCTAAAATTAAATTCAACTGAACATCTTGTATTCTTATTTGCTAACTGAGTCTTAGGGACTCTCCACTACTTCAGTTTTAACAGGCATACAAATGTCATGAGATTTCGTTTTAATGCTAATTGTCATTCAGTGGGTCTGAGGTGGGGCACGAGCTCCTCTGTTTCTAACAAGCTTCCAGATGATGCTGATGCGGCTTACCTGAGGACTGCCCTGTGAGTAGCAAGGACCTGGGACGGCACTGTTGAATAAGAATATAAAGAGAGCTACAAATATAATTTAAAATTTTCTACTAGCCACACTGAAAGAAGTAAAAATAAGCAGGTGAAATTAGTTTTAATAATATATAGGATGGGGCAAAAGTAGGTTTACAGTTGTGACTACGCAAAACAATTTATTCCTGTATTATTAATGTTAACTTATTTATTTTATTGTTCAGCTACAGTTGTCCCACCTTTTTCTCCATTGTTTACTCCCATTTCACCCACAGCCAATCCCCACCATTGTTGTCCATGCCCGTAAGTCTTCTATTCGTGCTCCTTTGCTTGACCCTTCCCTTTCTTTCCGCTGTTATCCCTCTCCCCTCTCCTCTCTGGTCACTGTCAGTTTGTTCTTTATTTCCATGTCTCTGGTTCTATTTTGCTCACTTATTTGTTTTGTTGATTAGGTTCCACTTATAGATGAGATCATATGGTATTTGTCTTTCACCCCCTGCCTTATTTCACTTAGCGTAGTGCTCTCCAGTTCCATCCGTGCTGTTGCGAAGGGTGGGAGTTCCTTTTCCCTGCTGTGTAGTGTTACATTGTGTAAATGTACCACGGTTTTTGACCCACTCATTTACTGATGCGCACTAGCACTTGGCTATTGTAAATAATGCTGCTGCAAGCATTGGGATGCCCAGGTTCTTTTGAATTGGTGATTCAATTTTCTTAGGGTATAGTCCAGCATTGGGATCGCTGGATCAAAAGGCAGTTCCATGTTTAGTTTCTGAGGAAATTCCATACTGTTTCCACAGTGGCTGCACCAGTCTGCATTCCCACCAATTTTTGTATTATTATATTCATTAATTGTTGTTTTATTTTCCACGTGAAAAACTGTAAACCTACTTTTGCCCCATCTTGTACTTTATTTAACTTAATACCTCTAAAATACTATTTTGAACATAATTAAAAAAATTATTTATGAGATACTTTACCTTCCTTTCCCATCCTAAGTCCGAAATCTGTTGTGTAATTTACACTTACACACATCTCAGTCCGGACTAACGAAAACTTTGAGTGCTCAGTAACCATGGGTGGCTGGTGGTGGCCACTGTATTAGTCAGAGTAAATACTGAACTTCTCGTCCAGCTGCCAGAGCAAGAGCCCACGGGCCCAGCAGTATTCTATCACATTGCTCCCCAGATCCCTGGTCAGGTGGGGCGAGAGGGGGAGCCCACGCTGGTCCTGCACTGTGACAGTGACGGTTCTGTGAACACTCGGAAACCTTAGCCTTAGTCCCTTAGTGCTTGTCATATAACAGTCTGTTGTGGAAATATGCTTCGGTTATATTTTCGGTACACACACACATGAATACAATTTTTTTTATTTTAAATCAAGGACCATTTTAATATATTTTACGACTTGATGATCCTAAAATTTTATTATAGCATTCTTTCTGTTGTTGAAACTTTCTCCCACTTGGTTAAAAATATTGAAGGCAGAATATTTAGTAGCTGTTTGGCTTCACACATGTATGTTAGAATAGAAGTCACAGTTAAGACGTGATTGTCTGAGAATAGCTCATCTCGTGACTTTGGAGG